ATATATATTTTATTTATTTTTTTTTTTTTCAAGAGAATTGTTTGATTTAGGTTAAAGACCACAACCCAATCCATTAAACTAGCTCATCTCAACACAAGATGCAATTAGACCAAAAGCACCTCATGATAGGTAATTATAATGAAGTCCAACCAAAGAAACCATATCTAGATAGATCATATTTCAAAATACTCCAAAACACATGCATATCTCCTAAAGAGAGGCCTTGTGTTGCACCATCAATGTTATCAAGTATCAATTACGATTTTCATTATTGTTACTAGAATCTATAAGTGTTTGATCATGAATGTTAATTTTCTCTCATTCATTCTCATGATGAGAGCACCTACAACTTCAACACTTAAGTGAGAAGTGATCTCATAAGTGAATGTTAAAAATTATACATGTGTCTTTTATAAAAAAATTCTAAATTAACAAGATATTTGTCACATTCTATATTTCTTATAAAAGATGGTTGGTTATTACTATCAGTTTGTGATGTTGAAAAATTTAAATTGTTTAACCTTATAATAATCAACTAATGTGTACGTCCTTTACTTGCTCTAGATTATATTATGATTTGTATTAGTTAAATAAGATTGAAATATGACTTACATTCTAAATTACATCTTGACCTTGCTGATTTATTCTCAACTTATGTAACGTACATAATTATCATTTTATTTAAATTTTTAAGTAAGAGTCAAAAAGTATATGTAGGTGATCCAATACAACCATTAATCTTGGTAGCATATGAAGATAGAACAACCATGAGAACATCTTTGGGTTTGGTCAAAGTATAACTTAAGAACAACAAATTGTCGTATATGTTTTAACAGAAAATAACTATCGATTAATATATAAAATAAACCAATTATAAACATTCTTCTGATTTTGTATGGTTTATTTTCGTGAAATTAATTATTTTCCTTGTACATATGCATGTATAGTACAGAAGATATTTTTATCAATGACTTCATTCCAAGTTTGAAAGAAGAACCACTTGCTACTTCGGTTGGCTAGTTCGCCGCACACGACTTGTTCAATGCGTAGCATGCAAACAACATATAATTTCCATATACAGTTATAATTCTTAATTAAACAAGTGCACGTTAGCCACGTGAGGGAAAAACATTGTGCCAACATGTAACCACATATTTCGAAAGCAGCAAGAGCATTATAGCTGATAAGGTGTAGATAAATATTTTTTTTTCCTAAAGTTGTAGATAATTATTTTTTCTCTTAATTCGATAACATATTCTTAACAAAACGTTATCCACCCTAAATATTAAATCACAATAGCTGTCTTTCAATAAGTGTTTTTACAACTTATTATTCAATTAAAGCATTTTTATCTTTTGTTTCTTAAATGGAGTATTTTTCGAGAATTTTTTTTCTTCATAATCTCCTATACTTAACAGTGTATCATTTTCATCTGCCGATGAAAAAAAATATTATCATTTTCATTTTTAAAAATCAAATTTAATATTATTTTAAAAGAAATTATCAATAATATATTTTTTCCATATCTCACTGTATATATATATATATGAAAATGATTATATTGAATTAGAGTATTTTTAGAAATACTTTTTGATGATAACATTTTTTTTATTGATATAAAAAATTATAACAACAATAACCAATCCTTGTATATTGAACGAATTTGTGAGAATGTTTTTAAAGAGATTTTTCTTCAATGAGAAAGTTTGTAAAAATTCTTTTAAATTCTTATTTAATTAGATTATTATTTATTATAATTATTTATAAATTAAAATTTAATATTTAAAAAATAAATTATCAATAAATAAAGATGATCTTGTGCTATAACATAAATTATTTATCATAAATTTAAATATTTAAAATATTTTTTTTTACAATTTTTAAATATAATTTATATATTTAAACATAGTATTTATTTGTATAAATTTTAGTTATATATAATAAATATTTAACTTATACATCACACGTGCCAAAATACTTATCAATTCTTATATATTAAATATGAATCATTAACTTATATGAAAGTATTTTTAAAAGCTTTTCTTTGATGATAGGATTTTAATTTTTTATCTATTTAATTTAATTTTTTACTTATCATAATTATTTAAAATTAAATTTTAACTAAAATAAAGTATCATAAAAAAAAATATCATGTTGTAACATAAATTATTTATAAAAAATCTAGAATATAATTTATATTTTTGAAACTTATATTTATACAAATTTTAAATATAATTTATATATTCAAATATAATATTTACTTATATATAATTTATTATAAATTTTAGTTATATATATATATTAAATATATTTTAGAAACTAAAATACTAATAAAAAATAAAGATTAAACCTGAATCATCGTATATTTACCCTAACTCTTCTCCCGACGATGATAACGTTTTTGAAAAATTATTCTTAACTCCTGATATCTTTTAGTTTACCATCGTTGTTGTTATTTTTAAATTAAATTTTAATATTTTTTTAAAAGAATTATCGGTAGTTAAAAATTATTCTGTATCATAAGATAAATTAGTTACCAAAAAAACAAAATATAATTCCTATAGCAACACTATTTTTTATTATGATATAATTTTTATATAAAAAATTTATAAATTATAATTTTTATTAGATAAAATAAAAATTTATCATATTCAATACACTAGTTAATATTAAAAAGAAATCCCTTCTAATAGTGTGTTTGGATGAAGAATTTAAATGGAGTAATTTATTTATTAGAATAATTTTAAATTCTTTCAGATAAAATATCTTGTTTGGATGAAAAATTTATAAAGAATTTGAAATTCAAGCATTTGTAAAATTTCTTGAAATAGTAAAATTTCAAATTCTCCCAAAAAAGTAAAAATTTGGAATTCCTCATTTTTTTTCTTATTTCACTAATATATTTTATCTTATTTATTATCTCTTCATGTTTTTAATTATTGAATATTCAAAAATATTTTTAAAATTATTAAATATTATCTAATATTAATTTTTAAAATTATTAAATATTTAAAAAAAATTAGCTAATATTTATTTTTATAAAATTTAATTTTAAAATGTCAACATATAAATATATTTCTAAAATTAATTTTATCATGGTGGAATCAAATTTTTATATTCAACCCAACAATTTAAAATTCAAGAAATTTGAATTGACTTATCTAAACAAAATATTTTAAGAATGATAGAAATTAAAATCAAAGTAATTCAAATATCAAAAATTTAAAATTTATTAAATCTGTAAAATTCCTTGAATTTGTAAAATTCTTGATCGAAAGATATATATGTAACTAGGTTTTGTTTATCAGAATAACAAAATGTTAAGATGCTTTTGTCCAAATTATACCAAGTCAAGGAGGCAGTTCAACAACCGCGAATCCTCTTACTTTCAAAGTTTGCACTGATTTGAAGCATTCGATAATGATTAATTAATTATCAAACAACAAAAAGCCTCCAACAATTGGTTTATTTGTTTAAATCAGTCAAAGTCATTGACTTTGTCTCAAACAGCCTATAAATACCAATCTCACACCCAAAGGTTACCATCACACATAAAATATTCACATTCACATCTGAGTTTCAAGTTTTCATAATCTTCTTTCGCCTCTTTCACTACCTTAGTTAATTACGTTCCATAAAGATTCTACGTGTGGCCATGAAGAGACTGCGAGAAGGAGTAGCGAACATAGATTTGGGAAATTGTCTAATGCTCCTGGCTCAGTCTCAGCCCAGAGAAAGCAAGCCCCAGAAACTTTTGGGCCCGGTTGAATTTGAGTGCAGGACCTGCAACCGCAAATTCTCTTCGTTCCAAGCCCTCGGTGGGCACAGGGCCAGCCACAAGAAGCCCAAACTAGAGGGGAAGATTCTGAGGTTGGGGAACAAGCCCAAAACGCACGACTGCTCCATTTGCGGTCAGCGATTCTCTTTGGGCCAGGCATTGGGAGGACACATGAAGAGGCACAGAGTTGCCAACAATGAAGGCGACATTTCTTCGATCAATGAGGCTGAGGTTGTTGCAAAAGTACCGGTTGTTAAAAGGTCCAATAGTACGAGAGTTTTGTGCTTGGACTTGAACTTGACTCCTCTTCAGAATGACCTCAACTTGTTGTTTGGAGACAAGGCACCCATACTTGTTGATTTATTCACATGATCATCGTAACTTCCATTTGTTTCAACTGCTTCATTATTATTGCTCTTTCTTTACTCTTTTTTTTTTTTAACACTTTTATTCTTTAAATTCTTTCATGTAACTATTTTTTTTAATATACGATTATCTGATATTGTTTAGTGAATGTTTAAAGATGTTTCAATAGAGTCGAGAGTAATCACCATGTGAAGTACTGTTGACGATGGAAGAACCTTTCATATTAATCAATAGTTATATTGGATGTTTAACATACAGAGAATTACTAGCTAGAAGAATAAAATATTTTGATTACAAAATCCGGCAAATAAAGAGTATCTTTCAGTTTTTTTACCCGATCAAGAATTCTGCATCCTTAGATTGAGTATCACGAAACATAAAAGACAGTTTTATAGGTTTAATTTTTAATTCTTCAAATTTAACGTTGTATCTTCCCCATATTTTTTTGAGATGTTGTGTGAGGGTTGACCAAGAGAGTCGGTCGAATGAAGGAACTTAGTCTTTATGTTTTTCACACTCGAGACTAGTGGACAAGTGTAACTTTCCCATATTCTTCTGAGTAGGGGTGGGCAAAACGAACTGAACTGAACTGAACTTATAAAAACTATACTGAACTTAAAAGTAGTTCATATGAACTGAACTAAACTAAATATTAGTTCAGACGAACTGAACTGAACTGAACTATTCTTTTGTGTCATTGAACTGAACTGAACTATATTATAAAAACTTGAACTGAACTGCAATTTAAACTGCACTAAACTGTTATGATATTTTGAATTGAACAATTTTGACTCATTGATCTATCAAAATAGGACACATTTGTCAACTTTACTTTATTTTCCATTTTATTTAAATTTTTCAAAGGAAAAAAAAATAAAATTAAGTCAAACAAACTCAGTGAATTTTAAGCCTAAAAATAAGTAGTTCAACATAGCTCAATTGATCCGTTAAGTTCAACAAAATTGATACAATTTTTTTTCAAATCACTTTTTTTCTAAAATTTTGGTTATTAAACTATCGAGCTAATCTATTAAGACATAACATGTTAAACACATTTAATTTTTATTCTTTTATAAAAATAGTTCAATTTTTATAATTCAGTTCAGTTTTTATAGTTCAGTACAGTTCAACTTTACAACAGTTCAGTTCAGTTCAGTTTTTTTTAAACAGTTCAGTTTTTTATAGTACAGTTCACCACCAGTTCAGTTCAGTTTAGCTCAGTTTAGTTTTTTTTGCCCACCCCTACTTCTGAGATGTCGTGTCTGAGAGGGTTGATCGAGTACACTGTCGATCCTATCTCTAATAAGTCGAGTAATCCAACCCCTTAAGATATGTTGGCAAAAATCCGTCTTATATCTTATATCTGAAACAAAATTTCATATTTATTAGACAAGATCGAACACTACTAAATAACTACCTCATCATATCCCAAGATTCTCGTAACCCATAAATCACCCATAAATCCATGGTAACCAAGTATAAAAGCAATAATTTTAAGATAAAGACGGACAAATTACACTCTTAAATACTCTAACTTTAGTGGTTTGTTTAGAATAATCCTTAGACGTCCTCTAAACCGGAACGAAAGTAAATTTATTTTTGGTCACTCAAATGTAAAATTATTATTTTCTAATCTCTATAATTTCAAAAATCTTGATATAATCCTTATATTTAAATTTTGTTAGAAAATCTGTCAAAGACTGTCACGTAAAATCTATCTATAGATGTCTCTGTTAATAGAAATATTATATTAAACCTAACTAATATTGTGTAATTATCTCAATCTGTTATTTTTAAATATATTATTAATAACTTAATAAATTAAAATATTTTTTAAAATTATAAAAAAATAAAAATAATATTTTTAAATTTTAAAAATTTAAAAATAAATTTATCAGAATTAAAATCATACTTAACTCTTTTTCATTATTTATTATCACATCATACATAGACACTATCTTTTGTAAACTATCGCATTATATAAACTTTCACCATACTCGAACGAAAATTAATTATTTTATTGTACGATTTTTTCTACCTCTGCAACGCATATGTTAGAAATACTTTCATTTTATATTTGGTTTACAACACTGGATATATGGGAAAAATTAAATAAAATCAATAATATATATATATATATATATATATATATATA